GTTATCACCATTGATCCAGTTTTCTTGAAAGTGATATTTCTTTCTCTACAATTACCTTTTAGTCTCTGTGATTCCTTACCTTCGAATCCATAGAAGATTTCTAGGTTCGGGTTTATCTCTAATCTCTTTCCGTTACACTTCCTTTGGGGATGAAGTAACCATCCACCACTGCGTTGGCAGTCGACATGTAAGGGAGGTTGAACGGTGCCACGGGGTGTAACCGGAAATCCTCTTTCACACAAGCCTTGACGTAGTTGAGATTTGGGAAGTCGGATTCAAGGACAAAACGATATTTTCCAACTATCCTATCGATCTCTTCCACGGTTTTTTGCATGATGCTTGGCTCATTAATCATCTTCGCCATGGCCCACTCCGCCGCATTTGACGGATTATCTTCCGAGGCCAGCATTAGTTCTTTCACAATTGTAACAAAAGTTATTAACGATCGACCAAAAAGGTTAGAAGTCATCAAATTAATAGTTAAAAAAAAAGTAATTGGTCTTGCTAATGAAAATGAAATGTCAAATGGCAAAAAAAAAACCTATAGAAACTTTCTAACTCGTTATTAATTATCTGTTGAAACAATATCGAACGATTTTGAAATATCTAAATGCGTTTTACTCAACCATTTAGAGCATGTTGTAACGATGCTACCGGATCCGAGTCATAAGTGATGTATATGTAGATGTTAAAAGAAAAAAAATGCTATATTTGAGGAGAAATATTTTACTATTGCTGAACCGTGACAAATATTTTAAATGGTTGTCTTGCACCTATGGAAACTATAGACTAAAGGTGAATTTTTTGTTATATAACCCTTCACTAGGTATAATTCGATAAATATGCATACCGTCACTTGTGCTTTGATCTCTTCCCTCGACAGAGCAGGGTTTCTGTCATTGTCTTTTGCCATTATAAACATGTCGAGAAAATCTTGAGGCTCTTTCATCTTACCATTACGCCATTGCATGAGTCTATCATCGACAAAAGGATCATTATACTTACTTACGTTCCTCATTGCGCGACTCACAACTTTCTCATGGCCTTCTAAGTCCAAAAACCTTAGACAGGGGAGGGGACATAATCCGACAAGACAACGGCGTAAAGATGTGTTAAAACCGTGAACAGAGATTCAACATGTTCAATCTCTTCAAAGCCTGGTCCTGATCCATCTTCACTTCCTTTACCGAAATGCTTTACACCAAACATCATCTTCCACTGTAATATCACTGTATTATCGCACCACAAGCCTTAAATCAATAATCGGAAAACCATTACCATTACCGCGGTTTTTGACACATCGGTTATTGATGTAACGGACAAGGTTATCAGCTTCTTCGATACTTTTTTCGAGCCACCATTTGAAGCTCTTCCGATAAGTCACGTAAGATGCCACCACTCTCCTCATCTTTTTCCACTGCTCACCTTTGTTGGGCATGGGCCTAATAATTGATAAATTATAAAGCCCATCTCAACGAGCTCGACCCGGCAGAATTAAATGTCCAACTCAAGTCCTAAGAGAAACCTTACATAAATGCACCTTCTCAATCTAATATAAATAGGGTCCCCCCACCTTCTATGATCCACGAGTTATTACCTTTTGGAGAGAGTACAATGGATCTGAAAGACCAGCGGTTTTCAGGACTCTAACTCACCCAAAAAGGAAAAGAATTATGTTCGTACATTCCGCCGGAATCGTACAAAGATCGTTAAAGAAAACGGCTTGTAGAATCCGATAACAGTGCTCTTATCACCCAGTTCCTGATCTCACTTACTTATCACCCAGTTTCCGATCTCACTACACTTGCATATTACTCAGTCTCCGACCTCGGAACACCGATCACGCCGATCTCGTTACACAGTAAATCTGCGAAGCACAAGATTTGTTAGCTTATAAGTTTCCGAGCTTAACATCCTTTACATTCGTTACTCCTTATTTGTATGCTGCTTGTAACCCATTTCCGAGCACGTTATCAATAAACGAGAAATTTCGAGCCTCTTACTATTTAATAAATAAATTGTCGAACTCATGTATCAACAATTGGTGCGCCAGGTAGAGGCTTGAAATTCTCCAACGCACGATTTTAATTCAGAAATGGAGGACAACCAGCCCGAACACAACACGGCCAATCAGGAGCTCGATACAAGGAATCATGACCTTCAGACAGCGTCCGTGGTCGTCTAAAACATTACTGACCAAGAAGTCCAAGCCGTCATTAACACTGAGCCCGCCGGGCAAGAAGTCGTACTCACTCAACAAGCTCATGATCCAATGACAGCTATGATGGAAGTCATCATGCAAGGATTTGATCGACAGGAAGAACAAGCCCGCAACACCAACTCAAGGTTGGAACTTCTCACTACGGCTCAGGCAAACTACCAAGCACAATTGGATCAGCTGAATCCACGGTCCGCTCATGACTCGCCCCGGACTCGAAGGAGCTCGTCGCCAACCCCCGAACGGCAAGCGCGAGCGGAGACGACCGAAATATTAGCCAACCTCACCATCCGAGCACCTACTGAGCACCCGAGCAGCTCAAGGGTAGCTCGGTCGACCTCCCAAGGCAGCTCAGCCGACCTCCCAACATCGTGACTCGATCTCGCATGAAGAACACCACATGTTGACGCAGGATCGAGACCCGGAAATCGAGCGAATGCAAGCCCAGCTTAA